CTGTGGTCCCTGCGTGGCCTGTTTTTGGCCTTCATAGCATCCAGCAGCACTCTGCCGACCAAAAACTTGCTGTGCGGAGGCCTTGTGGGGCCCCCACGCGGCCTGTTTTTGGCCGGGACAGCACTGCAGTAAGCCATGAAGGCCGAAAACAACCCTGCCCCCCTCACCATGCTCCGTTTTGGCCGGCAACAGTGATAGGATTCAAATAATTTGTTAGGATATGTGCAGAGTAACCCTTGTATAAAAAGGATGTGCACACGGAAATGGTTTATGAGAACAGTTATGAATAAATATACAGCCACACAGAGTTAAACAAGTTGTGTTAATGTTTACTTGAAGAAATAGCGCAGTCCAATAAACAGTCCATGTCATACACGTTTTTAACAGTCCAGGAATATCCAGTTATAAAGTCTTCTTACCGGTTTCAAGTCTTTTACAGCAGACAAATATCAAACCATAATACAACAGATAACCTTCAATATCAACAGAATATCAAAATAAACAGGGTTAGTCAGTATTGGTCCGTAATCAGTCAGTATCAGTATTAAGGGAGATCATCCGTGAAAAAGAGAAAGAGAATTAAACCACGATCTATAGCTCCCTCTTATGGCAACTTGTAGCATAATTAACCAACCAGTACACAGCATAATACATTACAGTATTTTTCCTTAAAGCTAGAAACATGTATATTTGTAGTTTATATACTGTCAACCCAACTACATTATTTACATATACATAATTTAACAACCAGTTCTCTGCCCTAATGATTTCTTCCAACCACCAATTCACCAAATTCAGTGGTGGTATTCTACCAGTTTGGACCGGTTCTGCCGGGCCAGTAGCGGCGAAGAGCAGCGGAGACCGAACTGGTTCTCTCCACCGCTCTGCTATTGGGCCCACTCGCCTGCCTGGGCTACCATACTCACAGTAGAGTGCTGCGCGGCAGCTGCTGAAGCGACTGGAAGACTGCAGGCTTGCAGGAAGTGAGTTAGAATGCCTCTGCGCTTGCACAAAGTGCACATTGGGTACGTCCATGCATGCAAAGTGTGTGCACATGTGCAAAGTACGCCCACTAAGCCACACCCACCGAACTGAGGATAAAACATTTTGAATCCCACCACTGACCAATCTGCTCAGAAAGTTAACAACCGGTTCTGTTGAACCGGTGCGAACTGGCTGAATCCCACCACTGGCTGGCAAAGTACTGCAGGAGGCCAGCTCACACACACACACACACACACCCGGCCCCGCGGAGAATTACAATGCTGATCCAGCCCTCAGAGAAATCCAGTTTGACACCCCTGCTTTATTGCATCGCCTGCTTTAAAGCAGCCACGCCGATTGTAGAGGCTTGTGGGCAAAGACTGCAAAATCGAAGGCCAAAGGAATTTCTCTTAAGCCTGGATTTAAAACAGGGTCAAAATAGCTCCATATTTACACTCCAACGGTGGAGCAGAAAGGAAGTTAGGACAATGCTTGAACCAGGTCACCACACACCACCCAGAGACATGCAAATCCTTAAGTAGCAAAGCAGAATTTCCAAGGAATTTCCCCACCTCTTGGAAGGATGGAGCTAATTATCTAAAGTCATTGAGTAGACTTAAATAGAATAGAATAGAATTCTTTATTGGCCAAGTGTGATTGGACACCCAAGGAATTTGTCTTGGTGCAAATGCTCTCAGTGTACATAAAAAGAAAAGATACATTCATCAAAAGTCAAGAATCATCAGGTACAACACTTAATGATAGTCATACGGTACAATAAGCAAACAAATCATACTAGGAAACAGTCAGTAAAAATGGTAAGGATACAAGCGACAAAGTTACAGTCATACAGTCATAAGTGGGAGGGGAGGAGTGAAAAGGAGTGATGAGCAGATTAATAGTAATAGTTGACTTTGTAAATAGTTGAACAGTGTTGAGGGAATTATTTGTTTAGCAGAGTGATGGCGATTTGGGGAAAATCTGTCCTTGTGTCTAGTTCTTATGGTGTTCAGAGCTCTATAGCGTCGTTTTGAGGGTAGGAGTTGAAACAGTTTATGTCCGGAATGTGAGGGGTCTGTAGATATTTTCACAGCCCTCTTTTTGACTCATGCAGGATACAGGTCCTCCATGGAAGGCAGGTTGGTAGCAATGATTTTTTTCTGCAGTCCTAATTATCCTCTGGCATCTGTGTCTGTCCTGTTGGGTTGCAGAACCAAACCAGACAGTTATAGAGGTGCAGATGACAGACTCCATCCTTCCTCTGTAGAACTGGATCAGCAGCTCCTTTTGGGCAGTTTGAGCTTTCTGAGTTGGTGCGGAAAGAACCTTCTTTGTTGTGCTTTTTTGATGACGTTTTTGATGTTAGGTGTCCATTTTAGGTCTTGTGATATGGTAGAACCTAGAAATTTGAAGGTCTCTACTGTTGATACTGTGTTGTCTAGTGTTGTAAGAGGTGGTAGTGTGGGAAGGTTTCTCCTAAAGTCTACCACCATTTCTACAGTTTTGAGTGTGTTCAGTTCCAGATTGTTCCGGTTACACCACGAGGCAAGTTGTACAACCTCCTGTTTGTATGCGGATTCATAGTTTTCTCAAATGAGACCAATCACTGTTGTATCATCTAAACTGTTATTTTTGTTTTAAAAAAGTACATTTCTCTGCAGCAAATCACCCAGTTTCTGTTTCCCCCCCCCAACACAGAGAGCAGAAGGATCTCACCAGGAAAAAATATTAACAGGGAGACATCAAAGAGCTTGACATCTGCCTAGTTTGTGCTTGTTTATTGATTAGATTTTTATCCCCTTTACTATTTTATAAGTAAATTCAAGGGGGGCGGGAATATGCCTAATCCTGCTTCCTGCTCCTTTTTCCCCCATTATAACAACCCTGCGAGGTGGGTTGGGCCGAGAGAGGGACTGACCCAAAGTCATCCAGACGGCTTTCATGCCTAAGACGGGACTAGAACTCCCAGTCTCCTGGTAATTGGCCCCAAAGTCACCCAGCCAATTTTCTTGCCTAAAGCGGGACTAGAATTTACTGTGTCCTGGTGATTGGCCCCAAGTCAATCATCCGGCTTTTATGCCTAAAACGGAACTAGAACTCACAGTCTCCTGGGAATTGGCCCAAAGTAGCCAACTTAAGCTTTCATGCGTAAGGCAGAACTAGAAGTCATCATTCTCTTCCTCCTGCTCCCTCTTTCCCATTCCTCCTCTTTCTTTTCCTCTTCTTTCTCCTTCTCTT